GAGTAATGTATTATGAATTTATGTTACTTGTATATTTTGGGAATAATATCTTAGATACATAGATTTTATATATATGTTTGTTGTTGAATCAGTGTAAGTGTTGTTGAACAAGGTCTAGTTATTGGGATTTGTAGTCGTTTTTTTTTTTGGACAAATGGGATTTGTAGCTCAGAATCGAAATTTTAATAAAGTGATGACTTTTTGTTGTTGGTTGTTTATGTTTCTTTTGTTTTGAGACATTTATTTTTCTAGTGTTAAGAAATAATTATTTTATTTTATAAAAGAAAAAAGTAAAAAAAAACTTCTTTTTTTTCCTGTCAAAGTAGAAAAACCTATATAGTGTTACTAAATTAATTACTATTTAAAAAACCGAATCTATCGGTTCGCGGGCGTTACACTTCCGAAAATTCATATCATTAACGAAAATTATATTGTTGACAAAAAAACATTAACAACAAAAATATCAACGACGGTGTCTATAACCACAATAAAAGAAAACATATTTTCACATTTTTAAAGTGTAAAATTAACAACAAAATTATAAATAAGTTATCCGCGTGTACGCGGGTGAATCACCTAGTTTTATGTAAAATTCTTTTTTTTTTCACTGAAGGAGGTTATATTATAAAGAGCTAAGGATGTTATAATTTACATGACCAAAACCAGAATCAGATACAATCAAAACCAAGAGCCATTAAAGATTAGAGTGAGGAAGTGCATTCCTCCGAAACAAAAAAATCCTTGAGCCAAGATGGAGAACCAATGGCAATGTATGATTGTAGGCGATACTCCGAGGTGACACTAGCCGCTATGTTATGAGCTCCTAAGTTACAATCAGATACAATCAAAATCAAGAGCCAAAACCAAGATACAATCAAAACCAAGAGCCATTAAAGATTAGAGTGAGGAAGTGCATTCCTCCGAAACAAAAAAATCCTTGAGCCAAGATGGAGAACCAATGGCAATGTATGATTGTAGGCGATACTCCGAGGTGACACTAGCCGCTATGTTATGAGCTCCTAAGTTAGCTTGGCGAAGTTCCAGTTGCAATTTCCAGGACGGAACTCTTTGCAAAATACTATGAAGATGGACCGA